CAGTACAAAAGTATGTAGGGAAGGGCGGACCTGCTGCCACTCCAGTTTCTTCTCAACCACAGAAGTCTAGTGAGAGATTCTGAGGCAGAGAGGAAGGAAGGCAGGTAGTGGAACACCCACAGGGACACACATCTCAAAGAAATACAGTTACTGTAAAAGGTAAGTAACCTCTCCTCCTTCGAGTAGTGTCACTATGGGTGTTCCATGTTAGGAGACTACCAAGCAGTACCTCAATGACAGAAGAGGGTGCCAAGGAGGTGGATTCAGTACAGATCATAGAACAGCATCACCAAAAGCCATGTCAGCTCTGTAACTGAGCATGACAGCGTACTGCACATGGTAAAATGTGTGGCATCCAAGATAGGTATATTTTTCAGGATGGCTACAGAGGTAGATTGAGCCCTGGCGGAGTGAGCAATAACTCTTCGAGGTGGGTGAATCCCCAAGGCTTCGTAACAGGATAAGTCACATCCTGAAACCCATTTAGACGGTCTTTGGGTGGAGGTAGGACATCCTTTAATTTCTTCTGCAATAGAGACGAATAGTCTAGTGGAACACCTAAAGGATCTAGTCCTGTCGAGGTAAAAGGCAAGAGCTCTTTTCGCATGTAATGCATGGAGGCTTGTTCCGTTTCTTGACGAGCGAGGCTTGGGATAAAACACTAGTAGGTGAATCTCTCGATTATACAGTAGAATTATATAGTCAGGGTGTGGACATAGTGTCACCTTATCACAACAGAACACTGTGTATGCTGGACCAGACATCAAGGCTCCAAGTTCCCATACTCTCCTAGCTGAGGTGATGGCTAGGAGGAGGAATGAAATCTTGGCCTCTGATGTGGGGTAGGATGTGCTGGGAAGCGTAATGAAACGCTCTGAGGTCTAATATATTGATATGCAGCATCACCTCCTCAGGGGTCCATTTACCCTAAGTTGTGAGGTTCTGGGAATGCGCACTCCAACCTACCAGGGAGGGGTCTGTGGTGATGATCCTCATGGGAGAAAGCTGTAGGAATGAAATTCCCATGCATATCTTTTGTGGGTCCTTCCACCAATTTAGAAAATTGAGGACCCTCCATGTTAGACACTCATTTAGATAGACTGTGCTTGTTGGGGGCATAGATGTTCTCAGCCAGGCTTGAAGATACCAAGATGTAGTCTTGCTAAGGGTGTCATAACCATACAGGATACCATGTAGCCCAGAAGCTGTAGACTAGCCCTTGCTAGGATTTGCAGATTCTGTTGTACTGTTGAAACAAGGTTGGACATTGTGGCAAATCTGTCCTTTGGTAAGTATGCTCTGGTGGTGGTGGAGGAATACAGAGTGGCCCCAATGAAGCTTATGTATTGAGTGGCTGTGAGGGTAGACTCTTCTGCGTTAAGGCAGAGGCCCACTAAGTAGAACAGAGGCAGGGCTTTGCTGGTTGCTGTCTGTGCCTTGAAAAATAAGCAACCTTTCAGGTGCCAATCCTCCAAGTAGGGAAAGACAATTATTCCCATCTAGCAAAGATGTCCTATTGGCTGTCACAGGCTCTTGGTAAAGACCCTTGGGGCAGTGGAAAGGCTGAAGGGTATGATGCAATACAGGTAGTGGTCTCTGCCTACCACAAAATGTAGGAATTGTCTGGGTGAGGGATGCATGACGTTAAGTGTCCTGAAGGTTGAAGAAGACAAACCAATCTTGCAGATGCAGAGAGGGAGTTACTGCAGTAGGGTTGCCATTCTGAACTACTGAGCATGGATGAAGGTGTTCAGAGTCCCAAGGTCCACAACTGGTCTCTATCCTCCAGTTTTCATAGGGCCCCAGACACCGAGAATAGAACCCTTTTCCAACGAAGTTCAGTGGAACAGGTTCGACCAGGTCCAGTGTTAGGAGGCCTGATACCTCCTGCCCCAAGAGATCCTCATGTGAAGGGACAGGGAATGCGTGGGAGGGCAGTAAAGAGCTGAACTGGATGGCACTACCTGTAGAAATCACCTCCAGGATTTATCTGTCTGAGGTGACAAGCTCCCAGGGAGGTAGAAAATGGGAAAGTTGATCCCCATAAAGATGGAGGAGTACAGTACAGGATCTGGAATGGGAGATAATTTGTGATCCTCAACCAGTGGGTCAAAACAGATGTTTTGAGGATGTCACTGACTGGGAGGTGATGGCTATGGAGGACATTTTCTTAGTGAATCTAGGATTCTTCCAGGGGGTCTTAGTCAGTCTCGTGGGCTGGTAGTGGACTGGACAAGATCATTTAACTATCAGCAATCTACTGTATTTTCTCTTTGTTTCAGATGTATAGATGCCCAGTGATTGTAGTGGAGGGAGGGATAGCTCAGTGGTTTGAGCATTGGCCTGTTAAACCCAGGTTTGTGAGTTCAATCCTTGAGGGGGCTACTTAGGGATCTAGGGCAAAAATCAGTACTTGGTCCTGCTAGTGAAGGCAGGGGGCTGGACTCGATGACCCTTTGGGGTCCCTTCCAGTTCTATGAGATAGGTATAGCTCAATTTTTATTTTATTTTATTTTTTTAAATAGTGTCACCTGGTAATCTTTGAGAGAATGAAGGTACTCATCTGTGGTGTCACTAAACAATTTGGGACCTTGAAAGGAATGTCCAAAACTGTATTTTTATCTCCCAGGACAGGCCAGTGGACTGCAGCCAGGAAGCTTGGAACAGGACTACTGTCACAGCCATGGAACATGCAGCTGTGTTGGCAGCACTGAGTGAGGTCTGGAGAGATGCCTTGGCAACTGTCTAGCCTTCTGCAACGAGAGCCTGAAATTGTTCTCTCTGGTCCCGAAGCAGATGTTCAATAAAAATAGTGTGTGAAATCACACTTTGCCATCAGGGCTTGGTAATTGACTGCGATTAACCGCAAAGAGTCCAAGGAATAGCTCTTGTGGCTCAGAAGGTGTAGACATTTTGGCTCTTTGTGCGATGGTGTTCAATGGAACCGATGTCACCTGTTTTGTTTGTCAATGGCCTCAACAACTAGAGAGTTGGGTATAGGGTGGGAGAAAAAGTACTCCAAGCCTCTGGGTGGAATATAATATTTTGTTGGCTCATTTGCACGTAGGCAGGAGTTTGCTGGGCTGGGGCCAGCAGAACATTACTGATGGGCAAGGTAGACTTGCCCCAAGGAGACAAAGGAAGGCTGTCAAAGAAGGAATGTTGGGGCTCCCATATCTCCTCCAATGGAATTGGTAAAGCATCTGCCACATGGTTCACAGGTCCTTGAAAGGCCTTGAAATCATCAAGATAAGATGGTGAAGGAGGCATGACAGCCTTGTCTGGTGAGGAGGTTGTTTTCCTTCCTCCTCTCCAGAGGAGCTGGTTCTTGCTTCTCTGGGAGATGTGCCTGTGGGGCAAGGCTCAAGGGCATCTGTTGTTGCTCCTGATGTGCCCTTTTACGAGATGGGACCCTGTAAAACTGGTTACCACACAGGGTCCACAGGGCTCACTGTGGTGGGGCATAAAGGAAGAAACCCAGAGTTGTCCTTGCCAGGGTCTCTGGATGTATCTCCTGCTGGGAATTTCCTCCTCATGGTGAACCTCAAAGAAGGGAAACCGAAAAGTAGAAGAACTTTGTATAGACGCCTCCGAGTCAGATGAGGTGTCATCCCCACATCCATCTGAGGGGCAAGTGGTGCCGATACAAGTGGTAGAGTTAGTGCCGGACCCTGAACTTTCACTGGTATTGAAGTTTCACAAGTGGTTGCACGGTGAAGAGGTACCGGAGGATGTGTCAGTACTGGCTGGAAAGCTCTCTCAGGACCCTCACAGAGCTTGCGTGGAGGCTGTGTCGGTACCAGAGGACATGTTGCCATTGAAGGCTGTAGATACCGAGGATAAGTAGGCTCTCTGATAGAAAGTCTCTCTCTGTACCAGTCAGCAGCAGCGATTCAGGCTCTTCCAGGGTTCAAAGGTCCTCACAGAATAGGTGGCTGGACGGCAGTGAGGACTCTGGATAGGAACTTCAGGAGTCAGTAGCTTGTGTAATACTGGAAAAGGTACCGAAGTACAATTGGTGCATGACGACGAGGAGTCCCTATGTTTAAGGGGGACTGAGCCTGGTGCCAATGTCAGTGCTGCTTTAGGTGGCTTGTCAGTACATAGCTTCTTAGCTGGTGCCATGGGGTCAGTCCTGGAAGGAATGGGAGCCTCAGTGGTACCCACATTGGGACACAAAGTCCCCAGAGGCCCAGATCAAGGGTGACTTTCCCCTTCTCTTATCTCGTTCCGGAGAATAGGATCCTTTTATTTTGAGGGTGTGGATGGTACCGTAGGACCCCCAGGGTCTTTGCTTACTACCAGAGCAGAGGCAGTCAGTGGATCCAATGTACAGGGGAGTGACTCAAACCCTGCAGGTCTCAGGGGGCGCTCCATCAAGAGGAGTTTTGTACTCCTTCAGTTTCTTAGATCTGCTCTTAAATGTTGAGCAGTTCTTACATTTGGAGGGGACGTAAGTCTCTCCCAGGTAGTGGAGGCAGCTTGAATGTCCATGGCAGGTCTGCAGGGTTTGAAGCCCAGGATCTTAGCCATAACCCATACTCAAGGCAGCAGATCGAGGCCTGAGAAAAAAACCCAAGACAAAGGCCCAGATTGGGCAAAGAAAGAAGGGAAGAGGGAACCCCCACAAAAAAGTACAAACTGTGCTAAATAACAGAAAAAATAATTACAATAATTTAAGTAAAGGAAAAGGAAAAATAAGCAAGAAGCGCAGCAAGCCGCATGGCTAGCCAATGAACCCAGCGACACTCCACCTAACGCTAGAGGTGGTTAATAAGGTGCTAGAGTGGCAGTGGGTGCGCCCCTCCCTATATGCCCTCATACACAAGGACATCTAGGGTGCAGGCATGGACCGATGGACACTGCTAATGAAAATCTACTATCGAGAGTGCCTGGGTACATGCACAGCTTGGTGCAGAGCACCCATCGGGACACTACCCAAAGAAGAATCACTTGAAAAAAAAACCCTATAAAACAAACTTTCAATAGCTTTTACTTACATTTCAGTGGCTATGAATCCGGTGAGCTCAGACAGGAAAAGAAACAGTATGAAGAGACAGCAGCAGACAGAAACTGGAAGAGATAGGTGTGGGGGGAAGGTTAGTTTAAAAAACTTTCACAAGATTTTGATTTGTTTTCATACACTCATCGGTTTGCCACTGGTTCCCCCGCCCCGCATTACTCTGCCCCCTAGGCATAGCTGGGAGCTACCACCCTGTTCAGGGGCAGCAATTCAAGCTATGTCAGCAGAATATGATGGCATCAGTAGGAAACGTGGTCTGGAATCTCAGCTCTGAATCAGAATGGAGACTCCTGATCAGTGCCTATATTCTGAGGGCAACTTCCAGCCCTAGGTGGAATATCCACTCCCCACCCCACTTTTGACTCCCATTTTCTCCATCCTACAGCCCCCACTGCTGGCAGCCAACCCACCCTCTGGAAAGATTGCTCCATTACATGCCTTCTTCAAAGCACTTGGCAATGACAGTAGGGCAAGAGGATCTCCTGCGTGGGGTTTGGAAGGAATCATCCTCTCCACACACTATTATAGCACTACACACTATCAAGTCACTGCCAAAGGCAGGTTCACAGATCAGACAAGTCAATGGTCTGAGACTGTGGGAGATGGAGATAACAGATGAGATGAGATGACCCCCTACACCACCCAGTGCATCAGCTCTACAATGACCAAAGATTCCCAGTAATCCAGAGAATGAGAGGCCTACAGTGACTCTGACAGCAGGTCTCTCAACAGGCCAGTGGTGTATATTTTCTCTCTAATCCAACTAACCTAGCATGTATTCAGTCCAGAAAATATCTCATGGGGAGCCAAAAGAAGCAACCCTCCCTCTGTTGCTTGTGTATTATTAACTATTCCTTACCAGGACACTGCTCAGCACACTGTGCAAGCAGTCAGCCTCATGTGATAGTTACAGAGCCACTAACCCAAACTGTGGGGGGATGGGAGGAAAAGAGACTCAGGAGGGTAAGAGAGACTGTAAGTGCTTGGGGAGTAGTAGGGGAGCGGAAAGGGGGACACCACAGTGATGTGGCAACCACGGTCTGGACCTGGCTGGGATTTACTTTTGTATTAAACAAACATTCTCCACATTCCGGCTCCAGAGTGAATCACCACAAAGGAGTAGTTCAGGAAATGGCATGTAATCACAGAGGAACAATGAGAGCATTATGACCCCAGCTCACACTCCCTCAGTCCCAGGGAGTAGCACTCCATGGAGTATGATCCCACCCATCAGTCCTACCAGCGCCTCAATGCCTGAGCATTCCATGGTAATGACCACCTCACCCCAAAAAACACAACCACTGAGTACAGAGGACTAAGAACCATGTAGGGTGACCGTTCTCCCTCAACTTTATTCCACTTGGCTGATACAGCCTCAATTTCATTTCCATTCCCTCAGGAGACTCCCAGAATGGTTATCTGAGGAGGGAAGGTGCTGTAGCCACCATTGCTGTTCAAGACTGAGGCGAAGTTTGGAGGCAAGGAGAGGAAGAAGGAGATAGTTGAGGCAAAACACCAAGACGGAGTCCAGATGTCTCAAAGCTTTGTGCCTCATCCTTCCAATCCATCAGCCCTACAACTCTGTGGAAAGGCAAATTCCTGCCTGGCTTCCCCCTTCCTCAGCCGTGTCATCTCAGAGCTCACTCACTCTCTAGCAGGCAGAAGGATTAACAGAGACGCCAAAAGCCATTAAATGGGTCATTCTTTAAACAGGAAAAAGAAAGAGGAAAGGAAAACTAAGCCTGAGAATAGTAGGAAGATGGGGAAGGGAGGAGAGACTTTAAAGGAAGCCTTCACAGATGCGCACACACAGTTCCTTCCATCTCTGTGCCTTTGGCAGGGAGAAGAATTCAACATTCCACTGCTACCCCAGGAAGCCTCTGGCCTGTTGCACAACAATGGGTGTTAGGAGGGGAAGCTTTTACCTAGAGCACAGAGGGAAACTCCTAGGAGAAGTACTGGGAGACCTTTCTTCATACCTAACTGAACCAGCACAAACTGGTTGGTCAGGATGCTTCTTAACCATAAGCAACCAAACAGCAGAGAGGTCAGGTCAGTGATAGGGCCACAAGCCCTTGGCAGTACACACAGGAAGTCCCTCTTGCACATACTGCATACAGCACATCAGTCAGAATTTTAAACAAATAAACCCTTTGCACTGAAATCACAATGAGAGACTGGTAAGATCACCTGCCACCCACTACTTATGTGACTCTCTTCCTCAACTCCCTTCACAGGCTTCCTCTTCTCTTCCACATCCCATTCAGGACTCTTGTCTTCCTATAAAGGTCCTCCACAACACCATGCCAGGCTCTTTCTTTGCTTTCATTTCCTCTTACTCAAACCCTAAGCTGCTCTCTGCAACACTCCTTTTGTAAGTTTCTTTCACTTCCATCTTTACACCTTCTTCCATGCCATTATCTTTGGAACATTTTACCTTCCCCCTTCCAGATACACCAAACATCTGCCCTCTCGCAAATCTTCCCTTCAAACCTGCTCCTCCACTGAAGATTTGCAGCACTACTTAACAAATAAAGTAGAGGTAAATTGTACTGGCCTGAGTTTTTAAACATAATTAGTGAGTTTGGGTGCCCAGCCTGAGCTACCTTGCAGGGGCCTGATTTTTAGAGGACAAGTTCTCAGCACTTTCTGAAAAATCACACAGCTGAAGTGGCGCACCCCAAAAATCACTAAGTCACGTCTGAACATTTGGGCTACTACAGAATTACATACACACATGCATGCTGTTTGGAAATGGGACCTTCCTCTGAACACCCTGTGTACCTGAACTGTATTGTCTGTCTAATTTTATAATGGAAGCCTTTCAGGCATAGAACATAAGTTCCTCCATACTTGCAGAATACTCCCATAATGAAGGCTTGCACAATTTACTTCAGTCAGTTATTTAACAAAGGAATCCTTTATCTGCCTCTACATGAATGCGCGATTCCTAGGTCACACATTTGTTATGCTTGGAATAGTAGTTAAAAGTCTAGAGGCAGATTAAGAAGATAGCTGCTTTATTACAGCAGTTAATTCAATTGCTGGAGCGTGCGTACCGCAGTGTTCCCCCAGAGCTATCAAGAACCAGCTCTGACCTGTCGTCATGATAGAACTCTGCCTACAAAACTCCAAATATATTAAAGTTTAAAAGCGTTACTAGCATTGGAACATACTGCTATTGGCTGACCAGAAAACTTAAGTAAAGCTGAGTGAGAAACTGTTTTCCCCTTTGTAAAAGTTTGAAATTTTTTTTCCATATTCAATTGAGATGAAAAGTCAAAGTCTCAAATGTTCACAAACCAAAAACGCAAAACAAAATTGGTTCGGGTCAAAATGTTTAGGTTTTGGTTATTCTTTTACTCTACTTTGCTTAAGTTTTAAAACAAAAATGGTTTCAAAACAGAAAACTAATCTTTCATTTAGAAAATGTCAAAACAGACATTTTGATTATTTCTAAACTTTTTTCCAAAAGTTTTCAGTCAAGAAATTAGTTGAAACCAACCCTTTCCTCATGAGAAGTTTGGGTTTAGACAAATTGTCATTTTTCAGCTAAAAAACTGTGTCAAAAAAATTCCTGAGCAGCTCTAACCTGGAGGACAGGATGCTTGCTAAGCAACTTTTCAGCACTGCCTTCTTCAAGCTAACTCTTCTATATGTATCACATGCAACAAGCACCTCCATCTATGCATCCCAGCCCCTTTTTCCCATCCCCTTAGCCCCAGGGCCCTTCAGCCCCTAAAGCCCCTGTGTTCCAGGTGGCCCTTCCTGCCGGAGAGGAAGGGGGGAAGCTTCCCTGCTCGCTCCCTCCCTCCCAGAAAGTCCTAAGCGACGCCAAACAGCTGTTTGGCGGCGGGGGAAGCCCTGGGAGGGAGGGAGGAAGGGAAGGGGAGGAGGCGGAGAAGAGGAACTTGTGCAATGCTCCCTTGTAAAGTCAGCCAAACAACGTTATAAGGGAGCATTGCGCAACTTTAAATGAGTATGTTCCCTAATGGAGCAGCGACATAACTTCGAAACAACGTTAAGCGGGAGGACGTTAAGTGAGGAGTTACTGTATGTCCAGTTACACAAACTGCTAGGAAGCGCAAGGAGGGATCAAGTCACAGTTGCCATGCAAGTCATAACTGATATTTCCTGATGTGTATTAAAACTCCAGCCTCCAAACAGTATTGCTGTAGAACATTACCCAGTGTGTACAACACATACATGTAAGCTATGCATCCACACCGACTGCTAAATCATAGGATTGGCAGAGTTGCTGTCTGAACTGCAGATCCCATTATGTCGTCAGGCAGCTCATGCCCATCCAGATACCAGCTGTCAGACTGCCTGGGCATGTGCTGCTGCAGCCCACATACCCAAACATGGCCAGTTTGTCACAGTGATACTTAGGTCTGCTGAAATGGCTGTTCACTAGCACTACAGACACTGCAACAGAAGGAGGGAGACACTTAATGTTGACACAGGGACTTAATGGAGTGGCATATGTACTGTTCACTGGTTTGGAGGATGGAAAGTTAAAAGACTATTCAATGAAGGAGATTTTAATGGAGGTACAATATGAGGGCCTGAAACTACTATGTACTAATCATCTCCAGAAACTCTATGCACTGATAAAAGAGGCAGTGGGTGTTTAGGTTTTTCCAGCCCTCATCTCACCATATCTTAGTGGACTGCTCTAGTTCCTCCAGTTCTAATGATGTTTAGATTTATATTAAGTTTTGTTTTTACCTGCGATAGGAATGATTGCATTGTGAATCTCAGACACCTCTGTTATGTGCCGTACCCATTAAATCCCCTGTGATTGCAAAGTTGTGCGTGTCAGATTATACCTCTCCCAATATTGGGTTTCTAGCGGTTAGTGACTGGTACTGCCCTGCAGGAGTACGGGTGTGATTCCCAGTCATTGTCAAGGACCTATTTCTTATTTGTGAGACAGCAGGGATAGAGTAGTAAGCATTAACACTGTGCATGAATCAGGGGACTGCTGTTCAATGCTACATCCTACTTCTACTCAGAGATTTCTAACATGTGTCACGGATCAGCTGGT